CAGGCTTCTGCTCAGTTTGCCGCAGCTCAATCCACCGGTGTCGCCGACAGCGCTCGCCGACAGTACTACGAAGCTGTGGGCCTTGCGCACGCCCGTTATTCCGAGTTTACTGATGCTGCATCGAGCGCTGTATACGGTCCCCAGCAAGGTACCATTGAGTCTTTGGCTTCGGTCGCCTCCGCATCAGCCGCTTCTGCTGCGTCTGCTGCATCTGGATCGGCCGAGTCTGCCGCGTCGTACGTGTCTGGTTCAGCACAGTCGGCTGTCGCCAACGCCCAAGCTGCCGCTGAGTCTGCCGCTTCCCAGGTTAGCTCTGGTGTCATCGGTTCAGAAACCCCCTGGACTGAGTCGGTTGCCTCCCAAGTCAGCCAGAACTGGGAAGCACTCATTGCTCAGGCCAGTAGCCAGGTCTACGGCCAGCCTACACCATGGGCAGAGTCTGTATACTCTCAAGCTGGCTCTTACGGTGCTCAGGTAAGAACTCCGTCCGATGAATAAACTGCATTTGAGAAATTTACTGACTTTGTACACGTAGGCTACCGCTGCCGCTGCTGCACAATATGCCGAGGTTCAGGCTCTTATCTCAGAGCTTGTCATTGGCAAGGAGCCTGACTTCACCGAGAGCGTCATGAACCGCTTCGCCTCCGCTTACTCCACGGGTCTGCCCGCAGCCATGGCTTCTGCCCAGTCCTATGCCAGTGAAGGTATCAACGCTGCTAGTTCGTACGCGGGCGACAGTTACGATGCTGTCACCGACGCGGCTGCTGACGCGTATGCTTCTGCTTCGTCAGTCGTCAGCGCCGTCTTTACTCCCCCGGCCATGATCGAAGATGTCCTGAGCCAGGCTAGCGCGTCTTTGGATCTCGCGGTTGAGAGTGCCTCTGTCGCTCTTTACGGAACGCCCAAGGGTGCCGCTGAGCAGGCCAGCGAGTCAGTTGCGAGCGCCTACTCATCCATTCAGTCTCAGGTGAGCGAGAAGCTCTACGGAACACAATCAGCTCAAGATAGCTTTTCGTCGGCCGCGGCATCCGCCCAAGCTGCTATCAGCGAAGCCATCTTCGGCACGCCTACAGCAGCCGACTACGTCGCCTCAGCCACAAGCAGTGCCGGTGGTGTATACAGCTCAATCTCGTCTGTAGCCAGCGTCAACGCCGAGTACGTTGCCTCTGCTGCTAGTGAGAACGCAGCCTACATTTCTTCGGCAGCCAGTTCTGCCGTCTACGGACCTGAACAAGGAGCCATGGAGTCTGCAAACAGCCGCATCGCCGACGCCGTAGCCGCCGCCAACAGCCGTATTGCCTCCATGTACGCGGCTGCTTCTGGTGGCGCCGAGGAAGCTGTCAGTAGTATCTCCAGCGCCGCTACTCAAGCTACCAAGGCTGTGCGAGATGAGTTGTAGACTATTGGTTGAAGAAGCTTGCTTCTCATATCTCCATATTTTCACCATACTCTCAACACATCACAACATAGCACATTCGCTACGACACGACACCAATATGTCATCAGCACACCCCCACCACCACAATCATAACGATCAACCACCCCTACACAACCCCATCACTATCATCTCAAATACACTACCCATCACTCACCACCCACAAGCAAGGCCAGTTGATCTGGCCCACGAACCACGGAAAGGAAGGAAAGGAAGGAAAGGAAGATCGGAAAACCAACGAGGTAATGCCTATGTATGTAGCTATGAACCAGTCTCAGTCTCTTGTCTCTCTATATCTGCTCTTGCGTTTTCTCAGGATTAGCCCGACTGGATTCCGCTTTTGTTCTTATGCCAGCAAGCAAGCTCTAGCGTTGTAGTCTAGTTACTAGTTCGTTTTTCTGCGACGGAAGAAGTGGACAGAGTAATGTGATATACCCTTTTCGTTCGACTGAGACTTTTGCCTATATCCGCTGTGCTGTGCTGAACTTTGAGTGAGATCGAGGTTGATGGTCGATGCACGTCACGAATATGTATAATGTGGAAGCATGGGGAGAGAATGTCTTTGATTATCGTGACTTCCGTGTCATCATGTATTGCTTTGTGAGTGTTGCTACATACAAGGTCATTAACCTTCATTCGTTCGGAGACCTCCATCGTCGTTCCATCCATCATTGGTATACCCTTTCCAAAGTCTGTACATCCAATCCATAACATCAATCTCTCATCGCGCTCGCTGTACAAAGTTGAAACCCTGAGGTTCAAAGAAAGATCAAGTCGCTCTATCAATAAAAAGCCCAAGTAACGCCAAGAAGGGGGTATGCAATGCCGAATCATACTACCAAAGAGAAAGAAGACGAGAGCGGACGAGTCTAGTCGCTGTCGCTCAAACTGTCCCTTCGTCCAACGGCACGGACGCCACCACGACGGTAGCCATCCATGACATCTCTGCCGCCCCTCTCCCTCCTCGCGTTAGTCGGGACACCGACTTGAGACACGCTCTCCATGGGGTGCACACTGCCCGCCTGGCTAAGACCGGGGATGTGGCACGGGTAGCTCATGTGGCCCTGAGAATCACCGTTGGTAGTGGTGAAGATGTCAGATGCCGGGGGAGCAGGGCGCGAAGTGCGGTGTTGCTTGCGAGGCGACTCGGAGGTAGGACGCGAACGCGAGCCTGAGGGGCGGGGACGAGACTCAGAGGTTGGGCGGCCGGAGCGCGAGGTGCGGTCTTGGGAGGGGCGGTCCTGGGATGGGCGGGCTGAGCGGGAGCGGGGCGCGTGCTTGTTGGGGTCTGAGTAGAGGGACTTGTCGGCGTTGGGACGGTAGTCGGAGTAGTAGCTTGACTCGGTGACTTCGGAGGGGGCGCTGCGCTCGGTCTTGGGGGCGGCCTTTGGAGGAGGCGGCTTGGCGAAGTCAGAGGTAGAGACGCCGGTGTAGACGGTTGCGGTGTCGTCGTCGCCGGTGGTGAATGAGTAGGCTGCGGAAGGAGGAGCACGGCGAGGTCCAGACGGGGCCTTGCTCCTTGTGGGAGCGCGTGTTGGTGTGCCGGCTTCAGAGGGGGCGGTGTACTCAGTGTAGGCGCGGGTGTAGTCACTCTCGGGGGAACGGTACTCGATCATGGGACGGGTGACTTCAGCCATTTCGGGAGCCTCAGAGGGTGTGCCGTGCTTCTTGGACTTCTTCTGCTCTTCCTTTGCGCGCTTGGCCTCTGCCTTTTGTTCTTCCTTGCGGGCTTTGGCTTCAGCGGCTTCCTTCTTAGCAGCTTCCTTTTCAGCGGCTTTGGCCTTGCGCATGCGTTCCCTTGCGCGCATCTCCTTGGCTTTGGCTTCCTTCTTGGGGTCCTTGACTTCCTTGGCGTCCTTCTTTACAAGCGGTGCGTTACTAGAGACCTGGGAGCCACCGACCTCAGAGGGTTGAGAGCCGGAGTAGTCGGTGTACATGCCATCGCCAACGCGGTTGAGGCCACCAACACGGGCAGCCTTCTCCTCGCGGTACTTGCGGAGCTCAGGGTCTTTGTAGTCGTTGGTGTGATCGCGGCGGTGCTTCTTGTGCCTTCGTCCGTCTCCGCCACGAAGGCCGCCCTCGCCCCTCTCGGCGTCGCGGTATTCGTTGGGGTCGACACTGGTACCAGACTCATCCGTGTAGTTAAGCTCGCTCTGTTCGCCGAAGTAGCTACCGCCGTGGACAACACTGCCACCGCCGAGCTTGGTGCTCTTGGTTGCGTTGGAGAGAGTCTTGCCGTCGGGTCCCTTGCGTCTCAGCACCGTTGACTTGTAGTCCTCCCAGTCGTTGTCGCGCCACTTGAAGCCACCGTTCTTAGCCCAGAAGAAGAACCAGATAGCTCCAAGGGCGAGACCGACACCGATGAGAGCAAACAGAGCCTGGAAGCCCGGTCCGGAAAGGTCGTTGGGTGGGCGTGCGCCTGCTGAGGCGAGGTTCTTGTATGGTTCAGGTTGGTCACGCTTGACCATTGACTTGGCCAGCTGCAGAGCATTCACGGCCATGGGCGAGAGTGCCCGCTCGTCGGCGGCAATGTCGGGATGGGGCGCCATGGTAGGCGAGAGGGTGGTGGTGGTGTTTTCGCAGGTGCAGGTCGATTATAGCGGGTCGAACAGCGAATGCAACTGGCAGAAAGTAGTCAGAGAGTATTCTGTAGTGTTGGTAGCAATGTGCAGTGTGGGGTTTGGAGCGTGGAAGCGTGGCTCCCGTTAACTTTTGGTCTGAAGCGTGTTGGGTGCGGGTGGCTGGTGGGCAAATGCAGGAGGTTAGGACGAGGTTGGGGACGCGAGCCGACGTCACCCAAACAAAGTCGTTGATGCAGCAACAGCACGGCCACCAACTTCAATCCAGTTGAATGCCACGCGGCGTCCCGCGATTGATTAGAAACCTGTCTAGTTCATACGGTACAGCACACCCTCTCAACAATTGTCCTCTTTTTCTTTACCGCTTTTTGACGCGACGCGTAGAAATGGAGTCGGCGGTGAGGCCATGCGCGCCAACGATCGCCTTCGCGAAGAGCCCCATAAAGGGCTTGCAGCGCCCTGCATCACGCCTTTGCGGGAAGGCCACATCCCCGGACTAGTCTCATGTCTTGCGCATACCGTAGCACCGTAGTAACCGTCGTAAGCTCAGCAAAACTTTAGCGCCGTCGTCCCTTCTCCTGTACCTGCATCCGAAGCACACTCCAGGAAAGCCTTGGCGACCCGTGAACGCCATGCGCTCAACCTCAATGGATGCGACTGCATCACTGACAGCTGACAATGAATACATTTTCCTCTCCATGCTTCTCTCAATGATCGAAGTTCTCGACTCAAATGGTGGACCCTGACTTTTGACATGTTGCCCGTCGTAGGGCGTGAAGCTAGTCACGAAAGAATTTCTTCTACCATAGTTTTCAACGAACCTGTTAAAAAATGATGAGCATTATAGTCTTCTCAAGACCTTCTTTTCTCTCTAAAACCGGAACAATTGTACGTTCATGTTCTGCTGAAAAGGTTGAAAGATGGCGACGCAGACACAAACAGCGACTTCGGTCTTCGAGCTCCAGCCAACACCCAAGACCACATCCATGAAACCTATCTATCATCCACCACGGCCATCGCAGGAAGTCTCGAATTACGGTCACTGTGTATCCGACAGCGAATTATCCGCCACGCCATCTGTCACAAAATCATCCACCCTGCGCACCTTCCTTACAATCTTCACCCCCTCCTTCGTCGGCTTCATAGCCAGCTTTACCAACGGCATCATCACAGTCGGTCTCCCCTCAATCGCACGTTCCATCGCCCTCGAACGCTCTCTCTACCTATGGCCCTCTTCCGTCTATGGTCTTACATCCGGCGCCGCACTACTCATCGCTGGTTCTGTAGCCGATATCGTCGGTGCTAGATCCGTGGAGCTCACTGGCATCACCTTCCTTGGTGTCTTCACGCTAGCATGCGGGTTCGCGCAGACCGGCGGGCAGCTTGTTGCGTTCCGGGCTCTCCAAGGTGTGGCACTTGCATTGCATTTGCCTGCTTCTGTTGCCATCATTACTGGTGCTGTGCCGTCTGGGAGAGCGAGGAATCTTGGGTTTGCGTGTTTGGGGTTCAGTCAGCCACTCGGGTTTGCTGTTGGACTAGTGCTGAGTGGTGTTATGATCGAAAGAGCGGGATGGCGGTTGGGGTTCTACGTGACTGGAGGGTGTACGTTGGCAGTGGCCGTGGCTGCGATCTGGACGCTTCCCAAACTCCCTTCTCAGAATCAGGATGGTGTGGTTGCGCTTTGGAAGAAGGTTGTTAGGGAGATTGATTGGGTTGGTGGTATGATATCTAGTGGTGGACTGGCTATTCTTGCCTATGTCCTTGCGTATGAGTTCCCTTTTCCCCCGTACTCAACAAAAGCTAATAGCAAGCAGTATCATCAGCGCCGACCTGACAAGCATTCGCTCAGCCGAGACGGCCTCGCTTCTCACTATCAGCATCCTCCTTCTCTGCGCCTTCCCAGCCTGGATGCACTACCGTGGGCGACGTGGAAAAACAGCCCTAGTACCGAACAAGCTGTGGAACAGTCTCCCCTTTGCCAGCACATGCATCATGGTCGCACTTTCTTACGGCGTCATGAACTCCATTGAGCTCTTCTCCAGTCTATAGTATGTATCACCATCCACCATCCTGTTGCGCAACATGGCAGAAGTCGATGTCTAACTCCAAGCCCAGTTTCCAAGAAGTCCAACACGCCTCCATGCTAGCAACATCCCTCTACCTCCTCCCCAACCTCCTAGCCGGCGTCCTAATCCAAATATCCGTCGGTCTGTTCGTCCACCGCATTCCTGCCCGCTGGCTCGTCGCCGGCTCCGCCTTGATCTGCGCCATCTCGCCTCTCCTAATGGCCGTCATGCCACCAACGTGGAGCTACTGGAAACTCGCTTTCTGGGCGCAGATGTTCGCCCCGTTCAGCGCCGATGTCTTGTTCACCGTTGGTCTCATAATCGTGAGTGACAACTTCCCGGAGAAGACGCAGGCGCTGGCTGGTGCTGTGTTCAATACCGTGGCGCAGTTTGGTATGAGTTTGGGTATGGGTAGTTGCCAGGTTGTTGCGCTGGGGGTGCAGGTTAAGAGCGGGAGTACGGGTACTGGTGGCCATGGTGATGGGGGTGGTGGGGACGCGTTTGAGAGCCAGGATGATGTGGCTGTGTTGAAGGGGTATAGGGCGAGCTATTGGCTTATGTTCGGGTACATGGTCGTTTGTATGATGATCGCTGTCGTGGGATTGAGGAAGGCGGGTAAGGTCGGACTGAAGAGGGAGTAACCGGTTGGCTATACGGGAATGCTGTCGGAAAGCACCAATGCGGTTTCCGCAGCCGCTTGAGGTCCGAAAGAAGGTCAAATAGACCATCTAACACCTAACTCAGACAAAACGGGCAAGTATATATAAAGCAGCGTCGGGCTCCACGCCATGAAGTATACCAGGTAGTACACCAACCACCATGCGACAAAGTGTTTCAAGTTCGTCATTATCCCACCTTGTCTTTCTCCTACGATCAAATTGACCAAGCGCTCTTGGCAGTATACGGTCCACAAGCACAGTGGTACCAGCATGTAGAAGGTGTGGAAAGCCTTTACGCTGTTCTCTTGTGAAGGTGTCGGCCGTATGACTATCTGTGCGTAAGTCGATAACACGCACGCGGCGTTCATACGTAGCGATGACATGGCGAAGATGTGGGATCGTGTGTTGACGGGGTCTGAGGAAGATGGAAAGAGGGTTGTATGGAAGAAATGCGACGACGAGTGACAATTACATAGGTAGCCAAGATCATGTCCAGGTTTTGCAGTGGCTCTACCAAGTTTCGCGTGTACCTTATGTTGCCCACAACCATTCTTTGGCGAATCTTGGAACGAACACAACAAAGGCCATAGCGATTCGTTCAGTATGGCACGTTCTTGGTTGGTCTACCCGCTAGAGCTGGGAGGAGCGGACGGAGTAGGGCGCGCGTCTTACTGTTGCACCTCCACGAGGTTCTCTACATGAATAATCTCATTGTTCATGCAATTGCGTAACCGCAGATTCGTGAATTGGTGAAGTAAATTTGGCTGTGTTTCTGGCTTTGAACCATGTATGAAGCAACCTTGGAATGTGCCGGACAGAAACACGAACGATCATTGCGCTCCATGGCGTTGCCACGTCAAACAAGAAAAAGATAAACAGGTCTGTAGACTACATCAAGACAAGAGCTTTTAAAGTAGATGACCTAACGTTAATGTAGACTCCAGGGTGTTCAGTTTGTTCCCAGCTTGGCGTGCTGCCATGATCGCCGCCAAGACAACACGTGCACCCCCGCCCCGCCACAGCGAACCTCGGAACGCTTCACGGTTCCTCCACAACCTTTCCGTCTCGTTACACATGACTTAATGGCTCAACACACAACCATGATGTGGGATCGGTCAAACAGTTCACCAGCTGATCACTCATACTCTACAACAAACACACCGCATTCAGTAGCAGTAGCGCCCCCGCAGCCCACCTGCCCGACTGGCATTAATCTCCCACGGAGCAAAGGCTCGCCCAGGAAGCTGTTTCCATTGCGATGGTAATTAATATCCCAAGGCCACGATAAGCTCGAAGGCGACCCAAGCATCATGCGCCTAGACGGATCAGCAGGGGACCAAACCGCCATAGTCAGCGAACTGCCTAAACCAGTAGGCACGTAAACGCCAAGGTTCACCGTCAACGAATGGTCGCGCATAGGTGATTTTATGATCGTCTCTATCTCGAATTTAGCAGCACCCGATTCAAGGATCTTGTTGTGGTCACGCTCGTTATGTGGTGATTCGATTGCGATTACTTTGTTCTTTGGTTGGTTGAGTACATGATGACGCTGATTTGTCGGCCCCATCCAAATCAGAGACCAAAAAACAATGATTTGGGAGTCTACACCACCCTACGGATCTCCCAAACTTTCGTTTTCATACTAATGTAGTCTGCAGCCACCTGTTTCGTTCCTTCCGTTCATGGTGCTAGCGACCGGGTCGGCGCGAATCTGGGGATCTTTGACGACCTTCCGCATCTGCATTGGAGGAGCCGGGGCTAACCTTTTAGTGCCGGTATAGAGCAGGGCTGCGCGATATCATCTGGTCTACCACTGAATATATAGGTAGCATAGTCGGTGCCTTCATCTGGAGTCTTCCCTCACGCTTCTCCTTCATCCTCACATACCATGAAGCTCCTCAACATCGCCCTTGCTTCTTTAGGCTTAGCGTCTGCGGCCACCGTCAACACAAAGAAGGTCAACTACGATGACTGGAAGGTGTACCGCGTCAATGTCGGTGCCAACGCTGCCAAAATCGACGATGTCATGAGCAAGCTTTCACTTGACTTGTGGAAGGGCAAGCCAACATCTAGTGATGTGGTCGACGTTATGGTGCCACCTTCGGCAGTCAAGGACTTCGAGACGTCTACGAAGGATATAGAGGGTAAAGCAGCCGCCACGAGTACTTTTGAGAATGTTTAACTAACTTTTTGACAGTATGTGGCCTCGTAGCTACGATCGTTTCTTGACACTAACAACTGGATAGACCAAGGTCATGCACGACAATCTTGGCCGTTCGATCGCAGACGAGCAGACTGTCAGCATATATGCCGGTACGTTGGATACATTTCTTGCAAGGAAAAACAAGCCAGGAGTCTACATTGTCTTGCGATTTCGCAGAGTTCAAGATCTAGCGGCAACGTAGACTCCAGGGGAGATCTAAAACTTGTGCTAACGATGATCAGCCGGTGCAGCACCAAGTGCCTCCTGGTTCAACGCGTACCACTCGATTGCCGATCATATGCAATGGATCACGGACCTTGCCGCGGCGTACCCAAAGAACGCTGAAGTAGTCTCTGCTGGCAAATCGGTTGAAGGCCGCGACATCAAGGGTATCCACATCTGGGGCAACGGCGGCAAAGGATCGAAGAGAGCGGTAGTATGGCACGGCACAGTCCACGCACGAGAGTGGATCACGACAATGGTCGTTGAGTACGCTGCGTACCAGCTCCTCACATCTACCGACTCCACCACGGCTGGATTCAAGAACTCGTACGACTTCTACATCTTCCCCATCGTGAACCCAGATGGCTTCGCATACACCCAATCAGCCGACCGCTTATGGCGCAAGAACCGCCAGACCACTCCCTCGGCGTCTTGCGTAGGCCGCGACATCAACCGCAACTGGCCTTCCCACTGGGACCTACCCCAAGGCGCATCGACCTCCCCCTGCGCACAAGATTACAAGGGTCCCTCTGCAGGCGACGGTGTAGAGACTAAGCTGCTCAAGGCCCAACTCGACAGCCTAGCCGCCGGCCGCGGAATCGCGCTGTACATGGATATCCACGCCTACAGCCAGCTTTGGATGTACCCGTACGGATACACATGCTCTGGTGTCGTCCCCAACTCCTCGAAGTATGCTTCCCTTACCAAGGGCGCCATCGCCGCTGTCAAGGCTGTGCACGGAACTACATTTACAGGTGGACCTATTTGCAACACTATCTACCAGGTCAGCGGCGACTCAGTGGACTACGCCTTCGAGGTTGCCAAGGCAAACTACTCCATGACCGTGGAGCTAAGGGACACCGGCAACTACGGATTCGTCCTGCCCGCTGCGCAGATCTTGCCCAGTGGTGAGGAGATGTGGGCTGGTTTGAAGTACTTGTTGGCGAACATGTAGATGGTGATTTATACGCAATGAGTAGGTGTTGACGGCGTTTGAAGAGTTGGGAATGTAGCGATACCTCGAGATGGCGATAGCATGCTTCCATTCCTGTTGATAGTAGAGTTACATGAATCCAACAAAGTGATAAAGAACTCATCCGTCCCATCTGATTGTACCCTGCCAATGGCTATGACTCTTAGAGCTTATAGTACTACCCTGCTCTCCCATCTTAGCGACGACAACAGCCAAAACCCCTCCCCTATCCATTCCCCTAAGCTGCACCAGGCCACGAACAAGTAGCCAGCTTCCCATCATGACAACGCTCAGAAGATCGACAACGCATAGCAGTTTTCCAGAACCCGTTCTTGCACCTGAAGAGCACGCCTCCATTCCCGTTGTTCTCCCGCAACATACATTTCGGTACGCCTTCCTCGCATCGGCGGTGCAAGTTGTTGTCGCGAGAAGAAAGCGTAGCGTCGATGCACTGGGGTGATGGCTTATCGGTGCAGCGACATGTCTCGCGTGCCTCCCATGTTCCGTCCTTGCAGATGTTTATGCCGTCGTAGCCGATGTGGAGAGTAGTCAGACATTGTAGTTCGCCTTCTGCGCATTGAGCGGGCGAGGGGATGCAGGCGCCGTTTTCATGATGGGTGCAGTCCGAGAGTACGCCGCGTGGTACGACGGAGCTGAGGGCGATTGCGGTAAGGCTTGTGAGGAAGGTGATGATACTGAAGTACTTCATTGTGGGGATCTAGAGATAGCAGATCGATGGTGCAGAACCTTGAAAGTTTAGTATGGAGAGTTGATAATATTACGTAGAGGCTCGAGGCAGAATTGGAGGGGAAAGAGCGTTACTTTATTTTGGCAGGTGTGGCGGTAGGTGAGGAAGTGAGAGCCTTTAGGCATTTCATCATGTTGCCTACATTACTTGTATAGCTCAATGAAGGATCTGTGAGATGCTGCCAACCCATATGGACTATGGCTAAGGGTACTGACCACGATCGGTCATTCATTACTTCCGCAATTCATACTATACCCATGTATGACGACAATTTCTAATAGGTGACTCTACGATGATGTGACAACCAGAAGATCTCTCGTAGTAGAAAAGTTAGCTAACCGACGATAACACAATCCCTTCAAGGATGCTTTTCCCCAGATTATCTGTACACCCACTAATGTTGTGACACGCGGGTAGTCGCAGACAAATGGAACGAACGTCTGACTGCATTCAGACCAACCCATGTGGCCGTCAGCTGTAAGAGAACCTTGGAAAAGTGCCCAAGCACATAGCTAGCACGAACGGTCCAGTCATCAACTATGCGCGTAATATGGAGGGCACACTTGCCGAGGAGGGAGCAGAACATTGGCTGCTTAAAGGCAAGTCACATATCAATCCACCTGATGAACGTGGCGGTATATTGCCGAGATGGAATCAAGGCCGATGTGTCTGGTAGCGACCGCACCATCAGTCTGGTGTGTTGATCGATCAGCAGTATCAAAAGTGCACCGACGCGCAACTTGCACTTCGCTCAGTCAAGCCACTTGAGGTCATAGCGCCACACTGTTTGCGTTTGCTCAAGGCCTCCATCGCCTTGTGGTTCTACATCCGCTCCCCCACCGCGAACATAAGCAATTTTTCCCATTGACGGCGTACGAACGACAGTCGCCGGCGCGGTCGGATTCTGTCAATACTGCGCACAGCGATACACGAATCATGTATGTTTCTTCCCTTTAGATCGCGCCCAGTACACTGACACAGCTTTAGGCCTGCGAATATGAGCGACATCAACACCATCTTTGGAATCCTAGCAGCCGATGATGCTAAGCTCGATCTACCGTTAGATTTAGTGGAACGCACAGCTAAAGAGCTGAGCCACAACATCTACACCGAGTTCTCTTACCTCAACGTCATCGAGAAACAACATGGGGCCGCCATATCGGTTCGGTGGAAGAAAAAGTCGCCAGCAAAGCGCCGAGAGCTACTTTGCGCCGTATGGTCCGAAATGCCTGCTACACATCGACCTGAAATGGAGGATCCGCACTTCTATTGCGCTAAGTGCACATGCGGAGGCGCGAAGAAAGTATTCTATCGCAACGAGCTATGGCCTTACATCAATTTGGAGGACTTGTCAGATGCGAGGTCCTTGCTCGAATTGATCAAAGTCCGCGCCCACAATCGTCCTTCAACATTCGCTAGCACCGAGCTAAGCTATTCTCCAGCGGCTGCACCGCGGACTACCCGGGAGCAACTCAAGGATCCCAGCATATCCTTCGCAGACCAGGATTTCGAGGCACAACAGTATATACCGGAGTTATACGGTCGCGTGGTGGACCCGGCAGAACCCGAATGCATCGTTCTCAATGGGTTGCGCACCATGTACCTTCTGGGACCAGGCCTGCAGATGCTTCGCATTCAAGCTGGTCTGTTGAGGTTCCTTGTCGACTGCTGTATCAAGATCATGCATGACATCCCCAGCGACATGATTCTAGCTGATGCTAGGACGATCCCATTCCAGCCACCGAGCTTGCCACCTCAAGATTTTGTGAGCAGTAGCCTTAAAGATGCAGCTATTAAGGCCGAATACTGTGCGCGAAGTATGCCGGATTGTACGCGCATCCGACATCTGATCTCAACAGTATTGAACAGTATCAAAGACCATGCCTGGGCCTTGCGCGAGGACCCTGTGTATTTTGCGGAACACGTCCAAGACCACGTGGAGCATCGCCATGAGAACATACTGAACAAAGCTGGACAGCCATCCGAAAGACTGGGAACGAGATACTTCAACTCCTGCGTTCTCCGCGAGATCATGGCCAGCGCATACGGCACTCTTATCGTCTGGGACCAGCTCTATCAGGAATCCCTCAAACTCGAAGCTCTTTACGAGTTGACGTTGCAAGGAGAAGTGACCGAGGAGTTATTCAGACGCTATCTCGATGCTATGAAAGTTGTGTACTTCTTGTTGCTGGGATGCAAAGGTGAAGCCGCGGGGTTCTTGCAGAACTTCGCTAGGGGCTCTCCGCATTTGCGTCACCTCTATGTTAGGAAGCCTATACAAGGAACATCCGATTACACAGCCGCGCTGACCGCAACTGACGATGTCGTTGGTAGCCGGGTAGAGAAGCTCTTGGGTCGAGTGAGCGATGAGGATTCAACGGTCGACGTATCTCACTGCCATCTGGACTGCCTTGAGACATACTGCGGACGAGAGCCGTCTGCAAGATCCAAGCTCTCACCTTTCATAGAACATTCTTTGACTCAGCTGTCAATCAGCGTGGAATGTCTACACCTGTTACGAGTATCATCCTGCGCCGACAGGATGACACCACATTTCGACTTTCTCGAGATCGATGCTGTCGTTCCTAAACCAGTTCTGGGCTTCTTGCACGCTCACGAAAAGTGGAGAGAAACGATGGAAAACGGAGGCGGCGAGCTGGCCATACCGAATCTTGAAGTGTCAAGCAATGGAAAACTAGACTATCCCAGCGAAACTGTCCATACAAAACAGGCCGTTGAAGCACGTCGAAAGGCGGAACGCAACCTAGACAGGTTCTGGAGATGCGTCGATAGGTCTTTTCGTAAGCTCACAGGCTATTCCCAACACGCTACTATTCGCAGACTCTTCGATGAAGGCGGTCCGATGCAGAGAACAGCTCCGTGGTATGACCCGGAAGGTCACGATGCATCGCCGAAATCGATCATTGCATACGAGTATCAGCCTATATCCGAGATCTTTCATGACCCAACAAAAGAGATCACCGGAAACTTCGATCGCCTCGCCGTTGCAGGTAAGATCAAATCGAAGACACATAGCGAGATAGATGCTGCGGCTCACAACGCCGATGAGGCAGCGCAGGAGCGACCGATGGCCATGTCAAAACCTCTATATCATGTTGGAAAGGACGCGTATGTCGTAATCAAGGCGCTGTTCCATGTGCCAAACGACAGCGAGCCTCCGGGCAAAATCCGATGGGACCAGCTTGTGGCTACGCTCACCAAGCTTGGATTCGCCGTCGAGAAGCTGCACGGGTCTGCGTGGCAATTCACACCGAAGAAGTTGAACTTGCCACGTGGAATCCAGTTCCATGAGCCGCATCCGAGCGGTGAAGTGCCATTGACTCTGGCCAGACGCTACGGACGTCGACTAGCGCGTGCGTACGGATGGGAGGCAGCGATGTTCAAGCAGAAGTGAGGGTGGTAGTTCATGCAGTGACTTGGCGTTTGGGATGGCAGTGGATGTCGGTATTTGAGGGGACTGGTACCATTTGGAAGGAGCGTCTGGCGTTTCCTCGGAGCTAGCGCAGCAGCCGCACACGTACGCTCCCGTCGGCTTCGTGGAGCGTGAGTTTAGTGGCGCTCTAATTGAGTGGTAGATAGGCGGTGCTGATTAAGTCGACTGCTGAGATTCGGTCATGTCAGTGTCAGACCTACGCAGTCAGACTTCTAATAAAAGACGCGGGTCGCTCCATTGTGGTTTCTCATGACCGTGTTTTGCGCGTCAACATCGAGGCTTGATTCGTATTGACGCGTGAAATCAAACTCGTTACTAATCGTTTCCGAAGTTGCCGGTGCAAGTTTTCTTGTCGGCGTGATGGGGGTTGGGGGCGCAGAAGACGCGAAATTGCGCGTGAGGTTTGCGACAGCGGATGATGACGCGCTAATGGCTTGGCAGTGACCTTCGTAGGCAGGAACATCCCACGCTCTCATATACCTGTTTCTCACGAAGGTACGAACTCACTCGCGGAACAAAACAGTTACGATCAGAGTGCAAAGAACAAGGTCGTGTGTAGAGGGGGTATATTGTTACTGCAGTGATGTTTCCACTACAGCTTCTAGGTAAGAAGATCTAGTAATTGAGGGGATACTGTGAGAATCGGAACCTTCATCAATCGTCAAACCCAAGCGAATCCATCACGCCGAACTTTCGTCACGTGAAATCATCCGTCGTAATAATCAGAGGTGCTCACCGTGGGGCACAGCGCCTATCGGCTAGATGCGCCGTCGATCTCCTTTTGAGCATCGACAGCAGCGGCCGGGTCTGACTCTTTGTCCTTGTTGCCGGTCTCCTGGCGGATCGGTAGCTCTGAGCTCGTCTCACCAGCAGTCTTTGTAGAGTCATCAACTCCAGCAACCGGAGCGTTAGCGAAGTGTACTTTGCGGTCTGGCGTCTCCGAGATCCTTCTAAGTTCGGTGACAAACGACTCGCCCCACCATGCGCTGTGTGAAGTTAGAACGTGTCGATCGAGATGTGATCGTGGGCACTTACCTAGTGTATTTCCGGACGTATTTGGACAGCTTCTGGTAGTTTAGACTACGTTGCTCATCGCCCATGGTGACTGCGTCATGAATGGCATCTGCCAACTCCTCGGTGTTCCATGGGTTGACGATAAGACTGCCGTTCAAGCTCTGTGCAGCACCAGTGAACTCGGACAAGATCATGACACCGTGTCGCTTCTCCTGTGTCGCGATGTACTCGTAGGACACCAGGTTCATACCGTCGCGTGTCGAAGATACGAGACAGACATCTGAGACGGCGTAGAGCGCAATAAGCTCGTCGAAAGAGACCGACTTGTGCATGAAGTGGATAGGCATGAACTCGATAGTGCCGAACTTGCCATTGATGCGACCAACAAGCTCATTGACAACTGCGCGGAGGTTCTGGTATTCCTCGACGTCTTGCCGAGAAGGAACGGCGACTTGTACAAGCACGACCTTGCCGATCCATTCGGGATGCTCTGTGAGGAACACCTCGAGAGCGTGCAGCTTCTGTGGTACACCCTTGATGTAGTCGAGGCGATCAACACCAACGATGAGCTTCACACCCTGGAACTTCTTCTCGAGGGCTGCTATCCGCTCTTGTACCTTGGGCTTCTGGAGACCCTCGTCGAACTTCTCGGGATCGATACCGATAGGGAAAGCGCCGACAGTAACGACCTTGCCCTTGAACTCGACTCCGTTTGGTGTTGTGGCAAGTCCCCTGGTCTGAGTTAGCAAGTGCGAACTCTGCCCTTGGGCTGATACCTACAGAATGCGCGAGCAACTGCTCAGGAAATGACGAGCATAGTCGTATGTGTGGAAGCCAATGAGGTCGCAGTGGAGAACGCCAAGCAGAATCTCATTGCGGACGGGGAGGATTCGGTAGATCTCGGAACTGGGGAAAGGTGTGTGCAAGAAGAAGCCAATCTTGACATTCTTCTTCGTGTTGCCGAGCTCTTCGCGCAACATGGCGGGCATGAGCATCAGGTGGTAGTCGTGCACCCAGACCATGTCGTTGTCTTGTACGTCCTTTGCGACGGCCTTTGCGAACAGGCGGTTGGCCTCGGTGTAGGCGTCCCAAGCGGACTCGTCGAAGGTAATCTCACCGGGGTGGTAGTGGAAGAGCGGCCACATGATCTCGTCTACAATTGTTAGTGCTGGCAGCGATATGGTTCTACATAGGTAATCTCACTTGAGAATCCGTTGTAATGCCTGTCTGCGAGCTCATCGTCGAGCATAACAGGTACCGCGTTGTACTTCTCCTTGAGCTGGTCGTTCAAAGTCTTTGTCTCGTCCTCGGGGACTTCAAGTCCGGGCCAGCCATACCACTGGAAGGTGGTGGTCTTGGAGAGTCCGCTCAAACCGCTGACCAGTCCTCCCGAGGACATGGACATGTCGTACTTGCCCTCATCGGAGCGCTTGATGGTGATGGGCAGTCGATTCGACACGAGCAGCAGACGTCCCTCCGACGACTCGGGCTGCTTGAGGGTTGTGGGCGCGTTAGACATCTTGGCGGTGGATATGTTGGATAGTGGGGGTTGTAAGGTGGTTGAGTCGCGACACTCCTGACAGGAAATTTATCTGCGGCGTAGGATGTTGGGCGAGGTCAGCATTCACCTCCGCAACGTGGCTGGGGCCGGTGAGCAGGCGGTGTGGGTAGGTTTCCTTTGGCGCGAGGGGGGAGGGATCAGTTATTTTAATTGTGGTGCTGGCGTGACGAAAGAATGATAATAGATCAAGGCCCGCTCGAAGGTGGAGGCGGCTTCTCGCAGGTTCCGAGCTCAAGCGGCCAGAGTTGGCAGACGGCAGGGCGCAGTTACAACCCGGGCAGATGCTAAAGTTGAAGATGACTGGGGCTAGGGGCGGTCGGGACTGGCGGCATGCAGCTCGGTCGCTGACAGGTGTAGGCCGCGTTGGAAAACACTGAATGAAGCTGGCGGTGTCTGTGTGAAACTTGGGAATAAATGTGACGTCGGTCGTGGAGCTGCCCAACCCAGCAGACGCGGGGCGCTCACAGACCAACTCGACGTCAAAGGGCGGCGCCCAGCATCATCTATGGGCATCTGCATTGGCAATACCATGCGATTCATGCAATCAGCAGGAAGGAATGCGATTCAACTGATACACTGACATCGCCGTGGCTCGACACGACAAATTCCCCGCAGGCCCTGAAGCCACTTGACGCCATTGGATCTCTCCGCGGAGTCACGTGTACGCTACCGGCGACGTGCCTGCCCTAACCGCCGCGTCTATCGCGTACGGCCGTCGATCATCAACACCATCTACGAACGCGCCGCCCATCATGTCGGATTCCGAAGCAGACCGGCCCTCTGAGGCGACCATTTCAAACAAACTGCGCGACATTGTCATCGCGATCCACAAATCTGGAAAAAGCGATGATCTGACTGTGAAGCGCGTTCGGGCGCGCGCAGAGAAGGAACTAGCCCTAGACGAGGGCTTCTTCAAGACAGACTCGACATGGAAAGAGCAATCACAGAAAGTCATTGTAGACGCAGTGGTATGAGGCCCGACTTCGAATTCCTTACCGTGTACTAAAAATATGTAGGAGAAGTTCTGCTCCGATGAGCCTACACCACAGTCTACTCCCAAAAAAGCCGCCCCGAAACCCAAAGCGAAGCCCGCCGAGAAGAAGACCAAAGCTGCCACCGAGAATGCCAGAGGCACCAAGCGCAAGGCTGCGGCACCCGCCAAGAAACCCAAGAAGCGCGCAAAGACCGAGTCCGAAGAATCTGAAGCTGAGCTCTCAGAACCACCCGCCGAGATATCCGATGCAGAGAGCGAGCCACCCAAGAAATTAGTACGGCGGGGGAAGAAGACTGTGACAGAAGACTCGGACGAGGAGGATTCGCCGAAGCCGACGTCCAGACCCGGCGCTGTGGTTGACGATGAGAGCGACGTCGAACCCGAGCCAGCGAAGAAGGCAGAGACAAAGGGCGACGTATCTGACAGTGATCTGTCCAGCGTCATAGACGAAGAGCCCAAGAAGAAGAAGAAAGTCGCTGCAGCAAAGGGCAAGAAGGAAAAGGCCCCGGCGAAACCGAAAGCGGCGCCCAAAGCGAAGACCGAGGACGATCCCGACACCGCTGAAGTCAAGCGACTCCAAGGCTGGCTCGTGAAGTGCGGCATTCGAAAAGTCTGGTCGCGCGACCCCGAACTGTCCCAGTGCGACACCTCGAAGGACAAGATCCGCGTGCTCAAGGGCTGGCTGAAGGACGTGGGCATGGATGGCAAATACTCGGTTGAAAAGGCAGCCAAGATCAAGGAGCAGAGGGAGTTTGCGAAAGACCTCGAGGCAATCAAAGAGGGCGAAGCGGCGTGGGGAAAGGCAAGTGAAGTCACCGCTACGGGTCGACCAAGCCGAAGGGCAGCAGCAAAACCTGTACCACAGCAGAAGGTTGTACTGGAAGACGATAGCGAGGAAGAGGCTGGCGGCGATGATAACGAAGACGACGATGACGATGATGACGACGATGTCCAGGGCGAATCGGAAGACGAGGAGGATGATAAGAGCGGCGACAGCGGAGGTGACGACTCCGAATGAGCTATATCTGCAACTTCTAATGTCATTCGCCGCGCTTGCATACGCTTGTCATTGTGGAGCGTACGACACCATATCTAATACATGCGCATGGTTTAATCGGGGCGTAGTAGGTCGTTTGATACCCACAAAAGCTGTTCTGATCTTTTTCAACCCGAATTTGTGCATTTTGTCACAACCTTCAAGACTACGTACCCGGGAACTCTTGTTGACTAAAGGAATGGAATAGTCTTGAAACAAGTCATAACAAAAACACACGATAAGTGTCGACAGAACGCGACGCGCAAAAGCCTATGCAACAACACTGATCCACGAGACCTCAAGCCATTGCGATATCTCTCGTGCAATTACCTGGGATATAGTTGTGTTCCCTTTTGTTCTTTTGTTCTCTCAAAGTCTCATCCATCTCATCAGCCCCTCTGTCTCTTATGCTGACACTGTTCTTTCCATCATTTCCTCGATGAACGCGTTGCTCTCGTAGATGCCACATCCGGAGGCGCTGGTGTGGTACTTGCACTACGTGTCATAGCACGCGTCTGCATGCGGTGCTGTGGCGTCGTTGGCTGCGGCGGAAGGGGCGCAGGAGGCGACTGAGGCGATGATGCGGAGTCCACATAAGACGATACAGAAGACAACGACGAACTATCTGGAGATGCAGGCGAAGATGGTAGAGGAGGTAGGTCCGCTAAAGGTGAGGCTGGTGCTGATGGGAAATTGCGCAACGTTGCTTCTACAGGCGTCGTAGATCGAGAGGAGGAAGAGGAGGAAGATAGACTGGTCGTGCAGCTTCGCTTCATGGGAGGGTCGGAGTGTTGTTTATCTTCTTCCTCGTCACTGCTGATGCCTTTTTTGTCTTCGCTTGACTCGCTCGATAACGACTTGCGCTTACGAGACGATGGTGAGGAGGAGCCACTCTTTGGTTGGCTTGTTTCCGCGTCTTCATTCTTGGATGTATTCGGAAGAGCTGGAAGGGATGGTGAGGATGGAGAAGACGCACTAGATGAATGAGACTGGAATGAACACTCTGCGGCCGATACGGGTGGGGAGGAGGGTATGCATAGGTATGGTGATGGGTCTGAGGACATGTCGACGCTCTCGACCGCAATCGCCTTAGTTTCGGCCACTTCATTGTTCAAAAGTGTGTCATCTTCTTCGTCTGAGTAATCGAAACCAAAGCCGCCTGTTGGTTGATATGTCGTCTTCGTTGGCTCAGTCTGAAGCTCATCTTTAGGCTTTGTCGGTTGCTCGTTCATCTCTTTGACAGCAGTCTTGTCTTCAGCTTTGGTAACAGCGAAGATGATATGCGACTTGCCATCTCTCCAAACGAGCTTGTTACCCTGCTCGTCCTCCACGTCTATACCCACAGCATTCTCATCTTCCGGAAACGCGACGTGTACTGCCTCGAAGTTACGAGACGGTTCGTCGTCCAGTAGTCCCTTCAGTGACTCTGGGTCGAACGCCAGGTGATGTATATTCAGAATGCCACGCTCCTTCCGCGATGGTTTCTTCTCCGAGTTCTTCTCCTGTTTCTCGGTGCAAGCTTGCGGCACGTCCTGATTCTCTTCAAGTTGCTGAATGGTGGCTTCGGGAACTACAAAGCTATTCTCATGGAAATGGAAGGCGATCGGAGGAACTTCAAGATCCCTACTGGTAATCATACACTTGAGCATATCGCCAAAGAACTCCAATCGGGCTTCGCTACCGTTGAAGTGCTCTTCTGGTCGAGAGGGCTCGTAGTTGAGAAGGCACTCGAGAACGATTTGGAAACACTCTAGTAACGCCGTCGCCTTCTTCGCTTTGTCCTGCAGGAATAAGAAGGTCTCTACAAACAACTTGTTTGGAGCACGCTGTTGGATGTAGCTGCCCATGACTGGAAAGAGTTCTGAGCAGTACTTGAACGTAGCGAAGTGCTTTTCCACGTCTGGTGCGCACAGAAAGGCGCGAAGTTCGGGGTCTGTGATGAGTGCGAGAATGGTCGGAATTGACGACAAAGTTTTGAGCTGTTGGATAGTCTCAAGACCGGCAGCATGCTTTACATCGAGGTAGGTGGCTAAATCCTTCAGCTGCTCAGTCTCGTCTTCGTCGTACGAGCCTTGGTCTTCTTCTTTTGCATGCGCATGAGCCTGAACTATGTCATCCATCTCACCGCGCTCAATCGGTTTAGCAGCGCGTGCTTCGGCTCGGCAGTCATCGCAGTAATCAAAGAAAGTATTCTCCGCGGCAATCGGGGTTTCTGTGTCGTCAGTTGGAACACAATTGGCGGGTGCGCTGTCGACACCTTGGACCAAATGTATTTCCTTCGCGTTAAAGCAAAGAGAGGTGTGTTCGGGCTTCGTTGAGAGCACGGTGTGGGCGCACTCGCTGTATGTAATGCATGTGAAGCCGCACATCGTCGACAGAATCGGGTGGCTGACTTGAGGTTGTGTATGAGATGATCTGAGAATAGGCGTAAGATAATAGGCCTAGGGTGGTGTAGATTCAGGCAGCTGTAGTAGCGGAAGCTAGTGTGGTATAGTCGGACGGAAGAGGAGTGCAACCTATTCTTCTTGGCAGGATCGAAGAAACACGTTGGTGTAGTTCGAAATAATGAACTACGTTGCTGCAGCCTTTTCAGTGCACGATGTCGAACGAAATAACGGGTGGCGTGGGGAGGAAGTGAAAGGATTCGACTATATACATTGTGGGAACACTCCGCAAACCGAACGAATTTGCATAAAGACACAACTCAGTTCTGACGCATTTACCTGTCAAGCATACGCCTTTTGCATGAGGAAAGAGCACTAGTGCATACAGCACTAAGTGTTTGCTGTGAGACAGGCGCGACACAAACCAGACAGCGCAACATCTCACTTCTTGTTCAAAGCATTGACCTTCTTCGCATGCTCGTAAACAAGCTGTTTGGCCTCCGCGTCTTCCAGAAAGATCGTGAATCCGTCGTCGTGATTGCTTCCATAGGAGTAGCCAGAGTAGCCAAATTGCCAGTACATATCCGGCATCTTCTCCTTCAGGCTGGTGGCCTGCCATAGCCCGATGGCTTCAAGTCTTGTGACATTCGAGGTCTTGCTGAGGTATTCTTGCCTCTTGTCGTCGGTTAGCCATCCATATTCTTCGTGTACGACTGGCTTTCCAACGGCGCGAGAGGCTTCGGCGTGATCGATGATCCATTGGTTTGCCCATTCGACGCTCTTGGACCACCCTATTGCAAGTCTAGTCAGTGTAGCTCAAAGAATGATAGTGTTGATGCCTGTCGAAGGAGTTATACGTACAATCGGGATATGTATGGAAGGTACCGAAGTCGATGTTCTTGAGCGCCAACTCCTTGTCGTAGTCGCCACCATCGTATCCATTATAGAAGCCATCGTCACTAGGCCTGTTAAAGCCTCCTTCACCACCCCATGTAACAAGATGGTCCTTGTCAAGCGACTTGACATATGTGCTCATCTCATCGATCCACTCGGTGATCATGTCAGGAGTGCAGTTCTCGCTGCGCGGCAAGTTTCGTACACCATCAGCACCGCATCGTGGCTCGTTCGCCAACTCCCACGCCATGATGGCCGAAGACTTGGCGTAGCGTTTGACAATCTCCTTGACATACTTCTTGTACGCTTTCTTGATGGCTGGGACATGATAGAACTAACGAAGGCTATGTTAGTCTATGATCATGTAGGCAAAGACTGTGTGACTTACATCGTCATGGTACTTGTAGCCGAGATTGGTCGTGTAGACATCCATGCCACCATAGTCGGCCCAATTGTTCGTCAAAGCAACGATGAGCTTCATGCCAGTTTTCTCCGCAGCTTTCACGACTTTGTCGAACGGTACTAGGTTGATCTCCTGTGTTCCGTTGCTCCACCATTGCAGGACGTTCGGACTGGGACCAGCACCTTCGCCACCGTACTGTGGTAGTCCGTTTGCGAGAGTCGTCCTGTTGCGATCGTTGAAGCCCCATGTCCTGAAGACGTTGAGTCCAGCCTTTTTCGCGGCACCCAGGCCAGCCTCTACATCGGATTGGAGCTGTGGAGTTTCAGTAAGTGTGGCAAGTCTGAAGTGAAATATACTGACGTCGTTGAACGGAAAGTAATAGGCATTGCTACCTGCGAAGTGGAAATCTTTTCCGTCTAATTTGAAGGCGTTGCCTTTGGTTGTGACAAAGCCAGCGGGTGCTTTCCTGCTAACTACTGCTGCTGAAGTACTAGTAGCTAGCAGTAAAAGCGAAGCAAGGCCGTAGAACATCTTAGTTAGTCTTTCTGCTTGAGTGTGTTTCCTCGTTTTCTACGCGTATTGCAAAGATATGTACCGTTTCGGTTTCTGAGCATTCTGACGCTATACCATTCTGGACACGGAGAGCAATCTCACGAGATCATCTTGCACTCCGCATTAGTCTTCCCCGCGATATATTGTGATCGCAATGGCCAAGGATCCGATCTGGCTGCTGATTGGTGCAAATGGACTAATTAGAGCTTCCGCACATGAACCAGATCTTCCAGAACATTGGTATCCGGGGAGACCTACAAAGAAGTATGGCAAACTGAGTACGTGGAAGAACGGGCCTGTAGCCATTGCTCACAGCAATTTGCATCTCTTGGAGCTCCAGGCCACGTGCCGAAGTAAATTGTTGCTAGCATGAGGATTAGTTATCACTCTGGCTCTAGTACCCTTTGAACCCGGAGGCACTTTTGCCATGCCGTTGATCGGGTTGGCGAGGTCTCTTGGTTGCGGATAGCGCAACGGTCCAAGTATGAGCTTTGTTGCGTCCTGTTTGCCATGGGTACCTCTAAGCTACGTATCATTTCTTCAACATCATGGCAGATGCGCGAGCGGTCAGCAAGGGCGAAGATGCTTGTAGCAGCGATGCGCGAGGCTGTGGTGAAAGCCTTCCTATGTACACCGCGTGTTTTAAAGTGCATTGCTCCGGATAATCTTCGTATAGGTTACGACAGGTCTGCAAGCGAACGGGTTGTGCATCAACAAGGGTTGCCGATACCATACAACGCGCGCAACGACGCGACTTTCCACGTCGCGTGATAGACTAGAGACGAAAAGTTGACTATCGCGTAGCGTTGAGCTGTACGAGAATGTTCAAACGAGAACATAAGATGATGCAAACCCTCGTATGAGGACCTCGGGAAGTAAAGACTGATAGGGGTCAAAACACGTACCTTGGACGGTGCTGGACCAGAACGTCGTCATACGCGACGACATGAACCATCCCTCCATGCCAGTTATCTCCTCAGCACTTAATAGAACCACTCCGCGTAAGAGTCGCGACGAGAACGCGTTCGTTTCTGTTGCAGGCACATCTCAATCGTGCCTCGTGTTCATGACGCAATGATGGCTAGGTGGGAAAGCAGCTGACGCGCCAAGACCCGTGATCCGGCGCGAAGTGGAGCGAAGCTTCCTCCCGGCCGCCACGACGAAGCGTTCGACTGTGTCATCACGAAAACACCCACGAATGCTGTCTTTCCACAGCACTACGCCGTCCCGAACAACTGCCAGATTCACAGGGGGGATGTTCAGGCTATTTTTCCGGACTGACTACGTTTCCGAGCCGGCTAATTTTCCGGACCGGCCACATTTCCAGACTTCGTGCGCGCCTATATCAGGAGCGAGGGCATATGCGGCAAACGCTCTGCAGCACTGCTCATCTCTTCCACCACGTCCTCTTTGGTTTTGCGTATTCTTTTCATTGTGTTGTTGACCCGATCGTCCAAGTCGCGCAATCTGAGGTCCGCCTGTCACGCGGCATGCCGACATGGCTGGTCGATGCGATGGCATTACGAAATACGCTGTCAGATCGCGTGAAATGAGTACCTTGATTCACGATCACAAAGAGAAGGAACGCTGTTGAGTATGAGCGAAAGAGGATTGCATTACTTAAGATTGAGCTCGGAAGAATTCGGAGATTTCAAGACCGCTATGTTAAACTGGGGAGACAGCATCTAAACCTTGGACTCGTTTGTTCGTCCGAGCGAGTTCGGGTCGACATTCTCGGCCTCATCGTACGACTGACCATCTTCGTCTTTGATCCCCGTTATGTGCGTGACAACCTTGGCTGCGAAAGTATCGCAACTGACGTTCATTGCAGTTCGGAAGCGGTCGAGGAACCAGTCAATAGCGATGACGACGGCATACATTCCAGTGATTGGGATGTTGACACTGGAAGCAATCATGACAACCAAGACCAGACTCGAACTTGGAATAGGTGTGGTTCCGATCGAAGCGAGAGTCGAGAGTAGAATGACAATGATGTAATCGGCACCGTTCAGGGTGATGCCTTGAGTGGCGGCCAAAAATACGACGACGATCGGGAAATAGATCGCAGTACCATCCATGTTGATCAAACAACCGAGAGGTACGGCAAACTTGGTTACTAACTGTGTGTCAGTGATCGCGATCGACTACTTATAACCATGGAGACTGACCTGTGATGGGAATACCCTGCTTCAAAACACAGCGAATGGTAACGGGCAAGGTCGCAGCGCTGGAGGCGGTTCCCCAAGCGGTAATCCATGCTGGACTCATCTTCATCCAGAACGTGTACGGGTTGGATCTGGTGATCGCGAAGAAAATGATGGGAATTACAATGAAAAGGTGGATGAACATGCCGACCAAGGTACCACCAATCAAAATACCCAGGTTCGTCCCAATCTCAGCAATATCGAGACGGAACAGATTCGGCATGATCAAGAAGAACACTCCAATAGGCGCAAGGTGGATCAAAACTGTGATGACCTTGAGGACGATAACTTCGACTTCTTCGACAGCTCGATGAATCGCACCTCCTGGCTTGATGACATATCCAAGGACGACGGCCGTGACAAGTACCGAAAGGAGGGCATCGGTCGCCAGGGCGTTGACGATGTTGTTGGGAACCAACGAGAAGAACATGTCTTCGACGACATCGTGGATGGCAGTTTCTTTCCTTTCGTCCACAAGCTCCTTGTTCTCGTCGTCCAGATCCAGAGCACTTCCTGAGACTGGGTTCATGAGTTTACTCCAGACCAGGCCGACTAGTAGGGCAGAGTGTGCGACAGCGAGGATGGTGGTGATGACGTAGTAGCCAATTGTCCAGCGAGCGAGTTTACCCGCTGCACCTCCTCCCTGTGTCATGTTGCGCAGACGTTGGATTGCCAGGATCATG